AAAAAAAACCTTCTATTCCAATATTTTCACTTTTATTTGCATTTATTAATTCTTGGTTTATTTATCGACGTTTTGAACTTCTCAGACTATGTAGTGACGAATGATGGGATGATTAGTGAATAATGAATTGGTATAGATGTGGAAGGACGCGGTCATAGCCCAATTTAAGATACTACCACTGGAATTTGCTTAGACAGAATGGGGAATCACTACAGCCTCCGAGTCAATATTGGAAGTTGATACTAACTCAACTGGTTAACAGATTATCCGTCCTTTGTGGAACCCTAAGATGCATCGCTGTGTTCGCAAGATCCCGCCACGTGACCCTATCATGACCCAGTTGAATTCAGTCCTCAAGATCCATTTTAATATTGTCCTCACATCTACGCCTTGGACTCCCATGGGATTTTCTTCTCTCTTTGATTCAAACATTTTTCTCGTCATGTTCTTCCCCAGCATAAAGAATTATAAACAAGCGTTAAAATATTTATTACTTCATTAAAACGTGTTTAAAATTCTTTTTATGTCGTTGCTAAATTGCCGTATTTTACTTCAGTGAGTTTATCGCGTGATTACAAGTAAGTTCTGCTTTATTCTCGCGGGAACTCTCCGTCTTTCGATCTTCTTCGGCACTTCAGAACTCACTCGATGCAGCTCATATCGCGCCATGACGCTCCTAGATGCAGGGTGCCCCAAAAATTTATACACACATTCAATGGATGAAATAAAGGACTTGGCACTTGGTGAATTATCAAAATCTAGTGTAGGCTTTCAAAGAATGACCACTGACTGACTGACAAAAGGTCACCAAAGATTCTGATGCCGCGTATACACTTCTTTGGACACCCTATACATTATTTTTCCCTCCGAATGACTCGCATGATGTTCGCAGGTTTTATTTTATCAGAAACGAAATGTAGGCTACTTGCAGTAGCAATAGGCTTCCTGGATAATCTGATATGAGTCATGGGGGAGAGCAGCATCAGGGGGACAAAGCGATCTCACGGAACAAAGAACTGGCTCAAAGGAAGAGAACAGGACGGACGGACGGACGAAGTGACACGAGCGTAAGTCCTGGGTTTTCCGAGATCATTCATTTCATTTCACATCCACAATACATTCTTCGTCACGATTTCTCGGTGGAGAGGTGGGGGCGGCTTAGGAAATGAGTGGGGGTGATAACCACCCTGTTGGTTGGCCCTTTGTATAATCCATCCAGAGTAACGACTCATCGCCCATCAGTGGCCTCTCAACAGTAAAGGCACTTCGCAAGAGGCAGGACAAAGAACTTCCACATTGATTAGCTAATATTAATTGGGGCCTCTCTATGCAGTTAAATGCATAAGAAACGCATTTCCTTTTAGTGATTCACAGGGATAAATGGAAGTAACCTGAAAATTATCTTTGCATTTATTACAGCTGTGGGGACAGGAGCTTAGTAAATACAAAAAAAAAACAGACTGTCGTCTGAATAACGCAAATTCCGAAAACTCCCTCCAACCCCTCCAATTTAAAGTTCCCCTGTGACCTTTGCGAATGACGTCAGTGGAGTCCGAATGACCTTTGAATGGGCGTGGTGCCAGTCTGCGTGATGTCATCACGGAGGATTCCCCAGGGGATTCGCGGACGGCTGCGAAAGTCAGAAATTATTTTCTCCTTCAATTAATTAAACAATGACCACATTTAAAAATGCCTGAAACGAAATTTTGTAGACATTTATTGTCATGTGACAGTTTTTTGTTGTTGTAAATATGGTGAGCTGTTTTTGAAAATTTCGGTGGTAGTATATTTCTATCTTTAGTTCGGCTTTACCCACAGGAAAAACTAGAAATAAAAACTAAAGAAGAATAAGAACGAAAACACTAAATTTAATCGAAATCTGTCAATGAGTTCCTGAGGCTAAGCCTGCGAATTTAATCTGTGTGATCCTGCCCTACAGTTAAGCCTCTGCACGTATCCAAATACATTTTATTTTATTATTTTTTTTCAAAAGTAACAGAACAAAGCCAAGTTATATTTAATAATACAACCACCGAGTACCGTACGTAGAGGCGTCTGGCCTCTACATCGTTCTGCATATTTCATTTTTACGACTGAGTCCGTAGTCCAAAGGTGCGCAAAAGCACATCTGCAGCGGACAGACGAGTAGGAACAGAAGATTTACTCGTAACAGACTTCGTTGACGTGAAGAGAAGCGAACATAAAAAGAATCTAATGCTTGCTGCTCTACGTATAAGCGCTGTGACCGCACCAGACACTCGGCTTCAACACTCCAGTGTGTCAGACTCCGAAACTCAAAGCCTGAAAAGTAGGTCGGCCGCATTTCCTACAGCTCAGTGCTGTACCAGGTAAGCATTTCTTTGTAACCTCTCATGACACAGACGATAACATTTCATAAGCTATCATTTATGAAAAATTTCTCGTACCTAAATGCACCGAAGTAAGAACTATTGTCTGTTAGACGTTTGGAATAGACTTTCGATCTAATGACAACAGTTGTAACTTTTAACGTTAAGGTACAGCACGGGACATAAGTTACACGCATGGCCAATGATCAAAGCATGTTTCTTAGTGAGATTTCAGGTTCTGAAGGCGGTGGTGATGGTTTACCTACGATTCAGAGCAGCTTGCTGTTTCCACACTTCTGTATAATCTTACGCTAAGATTCAGTATGAAAATTTGGCTGTAAGTGACAAAATGGAACTGCAATCCTAACTTGAGTGCGTAACTTATAGCAGAGATGTAACAGACTAAATTCGCCCCCCCCCCCCCAATCGTACGACACGTGGCAAGACAAATGAAGCAGATTTCTTAAAGGAAAGAAATTAAAAACTATTTCAAAAAAGATATGTTATCATAAATGAGTCCGGATAACACTGCATTTTGAGAAATTCCATCATTTGTAATATTCACCAACAGCAATAACATATAAAAATGCGTACAAAACGGAAAAGGCCACTTGGGAGACCTAGAAATAAATGGAAAGACAATTTTGGGCGCGGGGCCTAATACACAGCAGAATTCTTAAGAATGACACAACATTCCCTCAGTCTTACAACATAAAGAAAGGATTTATAAGGAAAACCGACAGGGACATATAGATGAAGTATTCGTGGATATTTTTTTAACTGCACGATAAATACACAAACGGATAAATATACAAAACTTATATTACATAGGAAAAATATATCGTATTTTTGCACTGATACACACAAATGGCATTATGATATATATATATATAATACAAGAGGATGTTTACAGACGTTTTATAAAACAAGAGAGCCCTTGTTAATATTTCTACGGCGTATAAGTCACATAACCAGCACCAATTTCCGAGCGTCCTGTGGTTTCAATTCGACTCCCGGAAGAACAAGAATGTTCTACCTGTTAATTTCTTATCTTTCCCTTTCTATAGACAATTTGTATTTAAATGACGAAAGATTCAGAGGCAGAGACGAACAGCGGCCTACAGCTCGAATCATAAAATCTGACGGCCGAGAAAAACGTCCAATCCTGCGATGTCTTCATTTCTTATCGACTGGTTATGCGGAATCGATGTCAGGGTCATTTGTACCAAAAACAACGGAGAGAGGAAATGAAATCATTTGAGGTCATTAGGGAACGCCGTAAAAACTTCATCCAGGATTACCAGACTCCAGGGCGAGTTCTGACCGGGACCACCAAAGTTGGTCATTCGACTGCACGACGTTCAATAACGTTACTTTACGTAAACAGGGATTTGATGACGCGGATTCAACTCAAATGCACAGTCACGCAGCATTCGACTGTCTTAGATTTTTAAACTAAAAACCAGGTTCCGCTCTTACGACGCCGAAAACGAAATTTTGACATCTGTCTCAAAATAATTGATGACGGCATATCAAGCACATTTCATCTGAAAATGGTGTATAGAACGCAAAGTACAAAAAACGTCTTCCTTTCTCGTACATGGTACTAGAAATTAGAGAAAATTTTGGATATGTGGGAAATAAGGTAGTATATTTGCGTCATATTGTGAATTAGGTTAATATTTTAATATTTTCCGTCAAATCACAATTTTAATAAGATAATAAAATATAAAAT